CCACGAATGATCTCCCCCAGCGGCTTTACATAAATATTGAACAAAAGGGGAGAGAGGACCGACCCCTGAGGCACCCCACAAGTTAGGGGTCTAGGAGTCGACCTCTGTCCCCCTGCCAATACAGACTGCGTACGGTCGGTGAGGAAGGAGGAGAACCACCGCATAACGGTGCCTCCCACTCCTAACCCACCGAGACGCCCACAAGCTCACTAAATGAAAGAACACAAAAAAAAACCAATCAACTTGATAACGATCACATCACACCCTGACAAATGTCCTCCTCTCGGCTTCAATACAGGACATCAATAACTGAATTCTACTGTGATCTGATTGGCTCATTGCCAAAACAAGATGACACCTGATTGGCTCTCTAAACACTCATGTCATTGGCTACAATCAGATGAAGGAAAGCTACCTGAGATCAACCTAAGCAAGTTGTGCTTCCTTTTTCTGGTTATTTGGCTAGAACTTTTCATAGAATACAGTACAGATAATTGAACAAACTTTGTTGCATTGCATTGCATTCTTGATTAAATTATCTTTCCATTGATATATAATTTTATGGTACTACTCCAAAAAAAAGTGGTGTTATTAGCCATCAGACCTCAAAAATACACTTTTCCCAAAAGGTTTCCACACTTTTGGCCACTACTGTATGTACTCTCCTTCTGCAGTCATTTAAAAGCAGCAATTCAGGGGTGGGGAAGTGGCTGTTTTAAAGGTTGCAAAGCCATATTTATGTACCTGTTACGTTTGCTTCTTTATATTTTAAACATTATTAAGGGGGGGGGGAAATGTGTGAAGCGCTTCGAAGTGACACCTACCTAGAACAGTTGATACAATCCAGAATGCCATTGAAGGATTTCTCATCACTCCCAAAGAAATATTGTGTTTGTACCGTGATACAACTCTGTTTGGACGGGAACCCACTGAAATCCTCCTCTTCCACTTCCACTGGGGAAGAAACAACATGGTCATCTCTACATGAAGCTGCCATGGGACGCATCCTCTCTCCCCAGTTTCTTCACTTACCTGCCCCAAGGAAACGTGGGAAGGTCAGCCCCCAGACGAGCTGCTGCAAAATAGACCTAGATCAACAAAGAGATAGAATAACTACATCAGAATCCATCACAGCAAATATAGCAATGAAGAATTCTTACATTTCCATGGACTAGCACTGATGATGTTTCCTAGTTGGGTAATGAAACGTCTGCAAGAAAACAGCCAAGCTCAGAGAGCACCAAGGACCCCCTAATCTTCCTCCTCCTCCTCCTCCTCCTCCTCC